GAAGGTTCATGAAAGGAATTATCCTACGCATGACTTAGAGTTGGTTGTTCTGGTGTTTGTGTTGAAAATTTAGAGACATTATCTTTTTGGGTCCAGATTCGAAGTGTTCAGCAATCACAAGAGTCTGAAGTATTTGTTTGATTAGAAGGAGTTGAACATGAGGCAGAGAAGATGGCTTGAAATTTTGAAGGATTATGATTTTGAATTGAGTTACCATCCTGGTAAGGCTAATGTTGTGGCTGATTCTTTAAGCAGGAAGTCCTTACATATGTCGATGCTTATGGTTCGAGAGTTTGAACTGATTGAGCAATGCAGAGGTTTGAGTTTGGTTTGTGAAGAGACTCCTACCAGTGTGAAGTTGGGTATGCTGAAGTTGACTAGTGGCATTCTCCGAGAAATCAGAGAAGGTCAGAAATCTGATTTGAGGTTGGTAGATCGTCTCACGTTAATCAATCAAGGTAACAGGAGTGATTTTCGGATCGATGAGAATGGTGTGATGAGGTTCAGAGATAGAGTATATGTTCTTGATGTGCCAGCAATCAAGAAGAGCATTCTTGAGGAAGGTCACAGAAGCGGGCTGAGTATTCATCCTGGTGCCACAAAGATGTATCAAGATTTGAAGAAGTTGTTTTGGTGGCCGAGTACGAAGAAGGAAATTGCAGAGTTTATGTATGCTTGTTTGACTTTTCAGAAGTCAAATATTGAACATCAGAGACTGTCAGGTCTGATGCAACCGTTGAGTATTCCAGAATGGAAATGGGATAGCATTTCTATGGGTTTTGTGACAAGTTTGCCGAAGACTTTGAAGGGATATGATTCGATTTGGGTGATTGTTGATATATTGACTAAATCGGCTCATTTTATACCGATGAGGATTAATTATTCGTTGCAGAAGCTTGCAGAGTTATATATTGATCAGATTGTGAAACTGCATGGTATTCCTTCGAGTATTGTGATTAACTGAGAAAAGGAGATTAACCTAAGAGAGGCTCAGTATGTTAACAGGCGGACTGTGATTAACTGAGAAAAGGAGAAATTTGGTGTTTTAACTGACGAACAGTGATTGACCAAAGAAAAAGGGAGAAGAACCAAGAGCAGGTTGTGAACTCTGCTAGGGATTCGGCATTTGACAGCCAAACTGTGTTTAACTGAAAAAAGGATTGACTTTTCTAGGGAAGAAGAGAATTTGGATTTAACCAAAGAATAGTTGACTAGCCAAAGAAAGGGGTGATTACAACTCTTCTAGGGGATTCAAAGAATAGTGACTGGCCAAAAGAGAAAGGAGTGTTGAATCGAAAGGAGGAAATTAACCAAGAGACAATGATTAGGGTGCAAGGAAAAGGTGATTGATCAAAAGAAGAACTGAAAGGAGAGCAAGATCAAAGGTTAAACTCAAGAGACCCCACAATTCAGATATAGAGGTGACTATTCTGAGTTCAAGGTCAAACGCCCCTGACCAGAAATAGCTAGAATGAGGGTAAGGTATACTTCATCCTCACTCCTTCTCTAAAACTCAAAGTACAGTGTGAAAGTTGAAACCGACAGAGAAATGACGCGAACTTGTACAGAGCTCTAGTGCGTTGTGCAGACCTCCGACTCATCAGAGGATAGAGAGAAGAAGACTTTAAAAGATCCTAAAGAGAAGAAAGAGGGAATATCAACTAATCTAAACAAGGTTTCGATCAATTAATCAAAAAGGAAAGAACAAGCCAACAATCTTTCATACAAAACAAAAGATCGTAAAAGCAAGCATGCGGATTATTGATTATACAATATTAAACTTGCTCAATGAAGAACAAACTTAATATGATCAAGAATGAAATTGCAAGGCAAAACCAAATGTCAATTAGCATGCATCACAAATCATATCATCATGTAAACAAAATATGCAAGAACCAACATGATCATACAATGTCAAAATATGAAAATCATTCCAAGAATTGACAAATCGTGCATCGAAAGTTTGCATACGTGCTTCAAACATAAGTTGAACAACTCATAAAGCATCCACAAATATTAAGCATATCAAGCCATGGAAGTTAAATGAGGAAAGAATATCAAACAAACTTGAAAAGCACAAAAATGGCATTTTGTCACAATTGTAATCGATTACCATATGCAGGTAGTCGATCACCTGCTTGAAAAATGCAAAAAAATATGGAAAAAGGGCAGGGTAATCGATTACCCATATATAGGTAATCGGTTACCATTGTGGCAGTGGCAAAAAACATCTTTTCAAAAAGCACTTTCAGCAACTAAACACTTACTCAATCATCCACATGTTATGGTGTGCATTTGCACACGAAAATTACATCAATTAGGAGCAATTAAGCATCAATTGAAATCACCAAACATGAAGATCAAAAATCAAACAATCACATGATTAATCAACACCGATAAGCTATCGAAACTACATCATAGCCGCGCGAAAGTGATTAAAAACAATAAATCAAGTGCGAATTACCAACCTACAAGGCGGAGGATTTCCTTGGTGATTGTTGTTATTGATATGTGATGATAATGAGTCAAGAAAACCAGATAATTCTGATCTTGAGATCAAATCATTGCGAAATCGATCGAAAATGCGATAAAAGCTCTGAAATCGAATTTACACCGAAACGATTGAATTGATATAGAAGTTATTGTAATTTCAGATATCCAAGAAGAAAATGCAATGAGATGAAAGTTTAAGTTCAAGAGTAAAGCAATTTCAATGTGAAATTTGCTACTCTTCAAATGATGCAAAGAGAATTGAGAGAAATGAGAGAGTGAAGAGTGAAGATTTGTGAAAAATTATTAAGCTCCCTTGTGAAATGGTGAAGATTTTATATAGAGCAGAGGTTTAGAGTGTGCTTTGGAGCTTGCTTTGACACTAGCTTTGGAGTTAGTTACATCTAACTCACTGAGTCGAAAGTTGACTTAGTTAGTTAGTTGTTAATTCGGTGGAGCAATCCCAATGCAAGTCCAAATCAAATTGTCCTCATGCTTAAGAATGAAGTTACATGGTAATTTTGATTCAAAGTGATGTATTGGAATAAATGCTTTGAAGTGTCTTGAAAGGTCTTGAAATGTCTAGAAATGTCTAGAAATGTCTAGAATATTCCACACAATGCTAGACCCAAGTAGACCACAAGAGAATGGAGAGTGCAAAGTTGTTGTCATGAAAATGCAGTAGAATCTGCCATTTTACACAGAGTAATCGATTACTTCATTTTGCCTAGCAAAGTGGTAATCGATTACCACAGGCAAAACTTGTCCAGTTTGCTTAAAAACAAGTGTTATGGCCATGGTCCTGATTTTCGACCTCTTGCTTTGATGAATAGGCATGGAAACCATTATTTTAGCTTGTGTTGAAGATATGATGAACTTGTAAGGGTATGATTAATCGCGTCTTGAAAACCTGAATATTCCTACAACAAAACCACATAAGAAAGTGCTAGTGCGTATTCGATGCGAATGCACATGCTCATACAAAAGGCAAAAAGGGAGGTCAAATTTCGGGTTACGACACTATTAACTAGTAATTAGTGGATGATTTAACCTGACATCCCCCACCCCAAATGTTTATGAAAAGACGATACTGACCCTGCAAATTCATTTCCAAATTTTTTGAAATTCACAGTCCAGCGGCGCAAATTTGAAGTATGTGGTCATACCAGAAATTTCATCCAGCTATCGAAAATTTCAAAAACAGTGAGTTTTATTACCAGAAATTTTAACATTTTCGATTTTTGTACTGGAAATTTCAACATTTCTGGTATTTACATTGAAATATGTACCGGAAATTTCAAAATTTTCGGCATTTACATTGAATTGTATACCGAAAATTTCAAAATTTGCGGTACAAATTTCATACTTATTACCGGAAATTTTTAATTTTTCAATAGTTATAAAAACCTGATTTTATACCAGAAATTCTGAAATTTCCGGCAATCATAGTCATCTAAAACTGTCGATAAAATTTCGATCATCTAAAAAATCAAACAAATAACACTACCGCAAATTTCATTTAGGTTGAAATTTCCGGTATCATCATATAAATTTTAAATTTTCAGAATTGCTTGTAAGTTATCGGAAATTCTAAAATTTCCGGTATACCGAAAATTTTAAATAATTTACCAAAAACTTCATTCAATACTGAAAATTTCATTATAATTATCGAAAATTTCATACAAAAATTCGATCTATTTTTCAATGACAAACAGTTTTAAAAATATGAAAGTTTGAGAAGTGTCAGTTATAATTTAGAAAGTGACAAATTAATTTATCTAATTAGTAAATTTACTATTTTGTGGACTAAGGCCCTCAATTATGTGTCATCTAATTTTACTCATTCTATTAAATTTTGGGAGTGGCAAATTAATTTCTCTAATAAGTGAATTTACTATTTTGTGGACTACGGCCAATTATGTATAATCTATTTTTACTCATTCTATTAAATTTAGGGAATGGCAAATTAATTTCTCTAATCAGTAAATTTACTATTTTGTGGACTACGGCCCTCACTTATGTGTCATCTACTTTTACTCATCTATTATTCATCGATTAACTCCGATCATTTCATTGTGTGAAACATTTTTTCCAAACAAACAGAATTTCAGTGTGAAATGCTATGTAACAATACTTCTACGGTTTGTGGTTATCTTTTACTAAGAATAGTGGAATCAAAACTTGTTTAGATTTTATATTTTGAAGTATGAGAAAGGGTGTAATGCATATATATACTTGTTGCTTGAGATTTAAGAAAATCACGATGTGTCATGGTGAGTTCAGCAAAAACTGCAATTAAAAACTTCAACAGCATTTTGCAAAGCAATTCTTTGAAACCCGTGTGTAAAAATTTCTATGCAGTCTTTTTATCTACCTTGTACTTACTGATCAACAAGCTCAACCAATTAACAGAAAAATGTGAGTAAAATGAAATTTTAACAATTCTGGTAAAAAAAAAAACTGAACTAAGTCCAGGTGTTTCAAAATGAGCATGTCAACATGAGAACCACTCATTTCAGCTTAGACTTTGTTGAGCTCTTAAGAGGTTTAGCAGTGGACCGAACAGGCACAGCTGACCTAGCAGAAACCTTCATATCATACTTTACAGACGAGAAGGCACATATCATGGCAAGCACCATTGTTGGATAGACATAGACAGCTGATGAAGGATCATTGTTTACTGGCTTTCCTAAAATCCCTTCTTTGACCAGTCCCCATATTACAAGAAGTGATCCAAATATGCTCATTCTCCCTGGTTTCAGAATACCAACAAGTGCTCCTGCCACTGAGAAGTAGCTTCCCGCAAGGACCTGTTAATCAATTGAATTATATACTCAAATTAGATTAAGAAAATACCAACAGAGACCTAATGGAAAAGAGAATTATGTGCTACGATGAAAATAGCTGAAATATTCATAGGGACTTGTTATAAGACAGATGAAGGTGTATCAAAATGCAATTCGCAAAGTTTTGGGGAATTCGATCCTCTTTAATTTATCAACTTGATATTCTCATAAATCTGAGGTTTATATATTGGAAATATTCCAACCAACAAACAAACCTAAGGTTATGTATAGAAAACAGTTTAATTGAACGCTTATAAGCTCTCATCATATAAGTGATTGTGTATAAGCTATTTTTATATCAAAATATAAAAATAACGTCAAGCTATTTTTAAATGGGCTATATGTTGTTTTTGTAAGCTATTATGAAGGCCAGGCCACTCTTGACTTTAGAAGGCCTGAATCTGGTCTACGATAAATTTTTAAGGCTTGAACCTGACTTATTATAGGCTTAGTTTTTATCTGGTCTGCCCTTTTTAAAAGTCCAGCCTACAATTAAGACTTACAAATAGTCCATTTTACCTATTTTTAAATAGACTACATTCTTTTATATATTATTTGGCCTCTTTTCTAATAGATATGCATATATAGACCGGCTTATCAAGTTTCATAGACTTTTTTAATAGGATAAGCGTGACCTATTTAATTCAATAGGTTTTTTAAAAAGCCTAAGCGTGACCTATTTAATTCAATAAGTTTCATCTGTAGGCCGGTCTTGCCTATTCACATCCCTATAAAGAGCTTATGAAAATGAGCTGAAAACAACTCATGAATCTATCTTAAATGGTTTCTATAAATTCTTCTAAACAGTCTGACAAATACTTATACACTAGAGAAGCTTATATAAGTCAGTCCAAATTGACCCTAGAGCTTCATGCAAAAAAACTAGAAAGGTTAACGCTGGCAACAACAACATCAAAGTCTTATCCCACCAATTCGTTACTCAATATGGGGGAAAAATGAGGTTTCAATTTCAATATAAGACAATTCAATAATTAAAAGAGAGAATACGAATGGCGATAAAAATGGTTCTAACCTCCAAGCGTTGGAGATCGGTGACAGCAGAAGCTTCCTTGATAGTGGTCAAGTTATACAAATTAAACAAATCATCCCAACGAGGAACAGTCATGTTGTGAATAAGTCCATTTAAAGCAGCACCTGGGTACAAAAGACCCTTCACAATTGGAACTGGAAATATCTCACTTGCAACTAACTGTGACGATGTAACATGTAAAGGGTTTGTACAAACACCAGATCTACATGTAACCCTACAAAAATAACATCAAATTTCAATTCAATTCAAATTGTTCAATTTTGATATAGACCTAGTGTAATTTTAACTACTAAATACACTAAGAATCACTCTGAAAGAGTGCTTGAAATTCAATTACAACATATTTGATGAACATGTATGAAAATTGGTTAGAAATAGTACCTGAAAAGGGGAACTTGAAAGATGATGAGGAGAAAGTAGATGCGAGCTGCAATTGAAGAAATATTTTTGATCCAACCCTTGGATGAAGATGATGATTTGGATGGTACCGCCGGTGTCGCCATGGAGAAGGAAGATCTAATGCTTCTCGGCGATGGAACCAACCTCTTCCCTCTGCAAATACGGTGTTCCACTCTGTTTTTCTCTACTTTATTTTGGATTCACTGTATTATTACTATTATTTTACTCTTTTTTTTATACAACAATGTTTATTTTTGTTACTTTATAATCAATGTAATTTTTTTAGACTATATATATATTTATATAAAATTTTGTTAATTATTAAATTTTAACTAAAAAAAATTGTTAAATGTATGTTAAAGTGTATGCTACTAAAATACACTTTTATAAAAACAAATAAATGTATTATAACAAACTACTCTGAGATTTGCTATAATATACCTCATTGTTTTTGTGAAAATGTGTTAAATTATATGTTGTTAAAATAGAATTTTATATAAACAAGTGGGTCTTTTATATATATATATGATTCAATGTTGTATTATTTTTATATATAATTTTATTTTAAAATAAAATTCTATTTTAGATGGAATATTAATTACTTTCATAATATGATATTTATTTTATTTGTTTTTTCTCCATTAATATGAGTTGAGTTGTCAAGTGCCATCTATAATAAAAGAAATTTAAAAGAGATCGTAAATGTCATCTTTACTCTTTTGAAAATCTACCACTTCATTAAATTGGGCACAATTTGTGTCTCTTTTATGTTTTTTTCAACTAAATCAACTTCTGTTACTATCTAATGTATTTATTATACCTTTTTTTTCAGAATTTTGAAGTGTAAATAATACCTAGCTCTTTAAAACAAAAAAAAATAATTTGTACCCATATAAGCCTTTTTTTTAAAATAATTTGTATAATATTACATAATTTTATATATAAAAAATTTATTAAAAAAAATTTATAAAAGTTTTAAATGAAAATTTAGTTTGAATAGTTATTTTTAAAATACTATTTTAGATATTTTATTATTTTATTAGAAAAAATAAATTTAAAAAACTTATAATATTTTAAAAAATTTATTTTGTAAAATTTATTTTTGAAAATACAAAAAAAAATTATTTTTTTAAGTTAAAACATACATACCCTAAAACTTTTTTCCATTATAATAACTTTGTAATTTAATATCACATTTTTCTCTTTATATTCCGATTTATGACTTTTTATCATACTTCTTTTTTCAGGAACAAGTAGTGCACCAACTTAAAATATTCGAGTTATTTTTATTTTGAAGAAAATATTTCATGTTATATGTTTCAATTTTATAGAAATCTATAATATAAGAAAATTTAATATTGTGAAAAACTCAAATTTAATATTTTCTCTTAATCTGCTACCTCATTAAAATGAGGGCAATTTTGGTCCAAAAAAATATTTTTTTCAACTAAAGGTGTCATATTGTTCAAATCCAACTACATCTATATTGTATTATGCCTTGCTAGGTTTGAATCAATTGAAGATGTCACTTGGTTCAATTACAATTCTTTTTTGTCTTTTCTCTTTTCCTAATGCCTAATTCAAAAGTTTCTTCTACTTTCCCCAAAATAATTTGTAGGCATGTCTTTCTCTTTCTATTTTTTTTTCTTCTATCTTCCATCCTCTCTCTCTCACCGTCTTCTTCTTTCTTTTGTTGTTCGTTGTCTCTCTTCTTCTTCTTTTTCTACTTCTTCCCTCTCTCTTTCGCCTCCTCTACTTTCCTCTTCTTCTTTCTTCTTTTTTGCTTGTCTTTAAAAAAGTATAAGTATCTAAGAGGATTTACAGAGATCTACGAATCAAAGTATTTCATGATAGATATTGGATTATGAAAGTTATTGGATTAACAAACAGAGAACTTGATTTTATGTTTGTGCTTAACTCATGGTTGCAAGGTAAAAGCCAATTTTTTTTTACTATTTTAATGTTTTGTTGAATATTTCATTTTGAGAATTGCTTTTTGATGTTTAGGGTCCAGTTTATGCGTTTTGATTATATGGGTTTGGATGAAAATCATTGAAGGGATTAAAGGTGTGAACTTTTTTCGACCTCTTCATCATCATGCAAAAGGTGAGCATGCTGATGTAATTAGGGTTTTTGTTGTCTATATTTCTGCATATCCATTTTGATGCCTAAATTTGATTTGATGTGATTTATTAGATTTGTATCTTCTTTGTTCCTACTTTCAGGAGTATATGTTAAGAGCTGAGTTTCGCCTTCCCAGTATAATAGATGAGGAAGCAACTCTTGAAAGAAAAGCTTTTATACCTGTGAAATTTGAGATACCATTTTTTATTGTTTATGGAATACAGGGTATGCTACATAAACTTGATTTTGGTTCTCTGCCAACATTTTGATTACTTAAATGGATTAAAGGTGTAGTGAACTAAACAAATCTATAAAAGAAGGAATTGAAATTTCTTCTATATTGATTATTTTGATGGTTTATTTGTTAATGTTTAGCAACATGATGTGCTATCATATATTAATGACTCTATAAAAGAAGGAATTAAAATTTCTTCTTTTTCGTAAAAATGTCTTATGATATCTTCATGATTATAGCTATCATAGAATCCTCACTATTGATTTGTCTGACTATGTTCATTGTAGGTACGAGCTGAACACCAAAGCACAGAGTCACAGATTGTACAGGGAAACATTTACATCAGTCTCAACTCCAAACTGTAAGGTCAAAGGTTGTTTATCACTTCCCAACTTTCAATGGGAAACACTTGCCTCCAATCTTTATGAATTTTCAGAAGTAGCTATAAGAAAAAGCTAGTTGTTTTGTCTTCTTGATTTACCCATATTTGAAACCTTAATTGATTGTCTTTGAATGTTATTTACAGGAAAAATTATCATCTAGCAAGTCTCCTGTGGAAGTTTTTGTCACGAAATTTGGCTTGATGCCTTTCTCATTCCCTTTCATACTATATATAATAGTGTCGGTAATTACAACTCATAATAACTAATTATAGCTGATAATGACTAATTACAATTCATAATGACTAATTTCCTATTCTATAAATGTAAATTATTCACAATAACTGCAAAGATTATTTCCTAATTAACATCCCCCCTCAAATTGATGCGGCTGGTCAAGGAGCATCAATTTGCTAACAAGAAACTGATGTCTTGGGCGTGGAACAGCCTTGGTAAGAATATCTGCAACCTAGAACTGCGTACTGACGTGAGGAAGTGATATTATTCGATCATCGTAGGCGTCACGTATTGAATGACAATCAACTTCGATATGTTTGGTGCGTTCATGAAAAACAGGATTTGCAACAATTTGGATGGCACTTGTATTGTCAGCATAAAGTGACGTTGACTCTGTTTGGGAAAATCCAAGTTCAGCCAAAAGACCACGAAGCCAAAGTATTTCTGAACACGCAGCAGACATGGCACGATACTCTGATTCAGTAGAAGATTTAGAAACTCTTGCTTGCTTCTTACTTTTCCAAGAGATCAATGAAGAACCAAGAAACATACACCAACCAGTAACAGATCGACGAGTATCAGGACACCCTGCCCAATCAGCATCACTATAAGCGCTCAACTGAAGAGAAGTTCCAACGGAAAAGAATAATCCGCGGTGAGAGATTCCTTTTAAGTAGCGAATTATACGACGAACTGCAGCCAAGTGAAGATGGCGAGGAGAATGCATGAATTGACTTACTTGTTGAACAGCAAAAGATATGTCAGGGCGAGTAATAGTCAAGTAGTTGAGGCTACCCACAAGTTGTCGATACAATAAGGGATCAGGCAACAAATCCCCATCATCACGATGATATTTAACATTAACCTCAAGAGGAGTATCTACTGGATTAGCCGATTCAAGACCGGCCATAGAAATCAAATCTGTAGCATACTTGTGTTGATGGAGAAAGATGCCCTTGGATGTAGAATGAACCTCAAGACCAAGAAAATAATGTAGATTACCCAGATCTTTCATATGAAATGAGGCCTGTAGTTGTTGCTTAAGTCGCTGAATGGAAGCATGATCCGAACCAGTAATAACCATATCATCAACATACAAAAGAAGCAGAACAATACCCGCAGATGTGCTATGAATAAATAAAGATGAATCATACTGACTCTGAGTAAAGGAGAATCCAAGTATAGTGGCGCGGAATTTCTCGTACCATGCTCGAGGTGCCTGTTTCAAACCATATAAGGAGCGTTTGAGCTTACACACGCCTTTAGATGAAGAGAATAAGCCTTGAGGTGGAGTCATATAAATATCTTCTGTCAGGTCACCATGAAGAAAAGCATTCTTCACATCCATTTGATGAAGAGTCCACCCATTAGAAGCAGCTATAGACATGATTGTGCGGACAGTTGTCATTTTGGCAACCGGTGCAAATGTCTCATCATAATCAATTCCATATTCCTGCTTGTTTCCTAACGCAACCAAACGAGCCTTGTAACGGTTGAGGGACCCATCAGAATTCAGTTTCACAGAATACACCCATTTGCAACCTATAGGTTTTACATTTGGAGGACAAGTGACGATATCCCATGTGAAATTCTCTTGAAGAGCTTGGAGCTCTTCAGTCATTGCTTTTATCCATCGCACATCTTTAACAGCCTGTGAGTAACAAGTAGGAATAGATATGCTAGAGAGTGTGGCAGTCAGAGAAGTATGTGAGGAATCATACCTGTCTGGTGAATATCTATCTGGTGCGCGGGATATTCGACCAGAATGTCGTGGTTCAACCGGTACAGGATCAGGTGGCAGTTCAGCATCGGGAAGGGGTGTGGGAACCTGTTGTCTGTGTTTTCTGACATATACATGACCTGGTTTATAACGTTCTATAGCTTGAGACATAATAGAAAACTTAGGAAGAGTAACAATATCATTAATGGCAGGAGAACCACAGGGAAACATAAACTGATTATCAAAAAATGTCACATTTCTAGAAATGCGAAAACGATGGTTAGAGACATCATAACACACAAATCTCTTATGAGAGTTACTATATCCCATAAATGCACATTGAATGGATTGTGCTCCAAGCTTATGCCTTTCAAAAGGAGGTAAGTGAACAAAACACACACACCCAAA